AAACACAAGGAAATATGATTATTTCACCAAAATGTTCTCAAAATGATTTCCTTCCAAGCTGGCTGTTATATCCATGGATAATGCCTTTGTCAATGAAAGCAAAACACTTCGAGATGATTGCTTTTAAAGAAGCTATATAAAATAATTCTTTTTTTTTTTCGAAAGTATGGTTAGTACCCTTCAATATGGACACTACATTTCCATATGGCGGAAAAGTGTTCCTAGGATTAGAGTTGAGATCAGCCTTAGTTTATTAAGGTTTATTAGTGTAAAATAGTATACACCTGGTGTAAAAGGTTGAGAACCCTTGGAACAGTAAATGCTGAGACAGAACCTGTAGGCACCACTCACCCCTCCAGCACGTTGCAGGCGTTCACACACTGCTGCTGCCTCATGAAGTGCTGACAGGAAAAGCACATGGAAGGACCAGGCCCCCAGCAACCTTCGCTAGTACACAGCTCATCACATGTCTGTGTCAGGGCACCTAAACCGAAAATAAAGACAAGTGGTGAATTAAGACACAAGACACAGCTGGTTAAGTTACAGCTTGAACAGTACATGGGTTTGGGTTTTAAACAGCATTGATTGGCAGTTAAAATACAACAGGCTTTCTTTATGCTCATACAGGACCTTCATACTCTCATTGCTTCATTTTTGGTCTGTACTAAGAAACTTATACACCTGAGAATCTGTAAAGGCTCTTTTTCATAAGTTTGAGAGGCCATTAGTAAAACAAATGCTTGTGACTATCAAACACACTCTCCTGTCAGCCTTTTTCTTCCAGAAGATTAATTTCGGCACACAAGATCATTCTTTTTCTCATTCAAACCCCACTAGGAGATTACACCCGATCAGAGACCTCCAACAGTCAATTCATATAAAAACATACACCGCTTTTGGATTCCTGACATATGACAGTTTGTTTTCATTTTTTATATGGAAAAAATGTAACACACTGGAAAAACAATACAAAACACAGAGGTTCTACATTTTTTCCCATTTTCCTCCATTCCTCATACTCCCCCTGGTTCCCAAGATCAGAGTTCCTTCACCAGTGCCATGGGCCTGAGCAATAGACTGCTCTATGAGA